AAATGATGGGCTGTTACATGCGGTTTCGTAGACACTAGAAAGAAGGCCTATATTACCGAAGTTATGGTCCCTGAAAAATTGAAAACTCGCATGCTGTTTTTCGCTCTTCTCCATTCACTTAAAGTAGAGCGGGTCGTATTGACATGAAACCCACTTTGAGAGGGAAGAGAGGGGGGAAGTGTCGTAACGACGGCCCAGTTTTCCTCAACTGATTCCTTGACCCTGACCAATCATGAAGGAGGATCAACGCGATGCTCTTCCTCTCTGCCGCAATGTATTGGGCTCAGACAGGTGGGGCCATCGGCCGAGGCGGCTGTTTGGAGGTGGAGTCAAACTATCGCGCTATACCTGCTGTCTAGAACGGATGGACTTCATTGGGTCGCTTCAAGAAATCACTTCGCTGCAATACACACCACAATTTGCTTACTTATGAACCTGATTTTCTCTCACAGTAGGTACATTGGCCCCTGTCAAACTATCGCGCTATACCTACTGCCTTCGAAAGGTGTACCCTTCTGCTGCTCGCTTATTCTATACTAACTCGTACGCGAATAACGGAAAGTGTAACGTCACTTGCGGCATTTTTTCTCGTTCTGGTGAAGTTCCTGTAAGTTTTATAAAGCACTCATGAAAGCTAAGCGTTGCCTTGGGGCAGAGCAGATTCTTTTGGTTGCAGGAGCATGCCACTGATGTCAGCAAGGCTTCTGAAGAAGGCGCTGAGGAAGAGGATCCGTTACTATCCCGGGTCAACGATGGAAAGGGCCGTAAACGGAAATATCGACTATCTTTGAAAGAGGTTGCGAAAGAAATGCTGAGCGAGGTCGGGACAAAATTTTACTTTTCTGCGGATGAAGAACACACGAAACACGACATGCAATTCCGATTAATGCCTATCACCCCAACAAAGAACAACTGAGCGGCCCTCCGTCTGAGGGCACCTAGCAAGTGGGCGGTCGTTAGAACAAGAACTTTCAGCGGCTGTAGAACGCTCCTCGCTCGCTGCTGAGTCGCGAGAGT